TGTGGTGGGGGGGGGGGGGGGGGGGATGGCAAAAGTAGGTTTGCAGTTGTTTGTATGGAAAATAATTCTATATAATAAAAGCCTAATATGCAAATTGTCCCTTCTACTGAGAGTTCAACCGGGAGTTGAACCACTAATTATAATGTGCGCTGACCACTAGGCGGGGGAGCATGGAACATGGCAGGCATCGGTGATGCGGTGCTGGCAGCAGGTGGCAGTGGAGGCGCTGCCAGCCCCAATGGGCCCTGACCAGAGTGGGACTGCAGCGGGATGGTGGAGCAGGTGAGCAGGCAGCGCCAGGTCAAGGTGGGTGCGAGTGGGGCCAAATAGCCCTACTGATCGCCCCCCAGATGGTGACCAGCTGTGGTGGCCAAGGGCGGGGCCTTTGCTAGCTCCCAGGTGCTAAGGGAGCCTGGCAGGGGCCCAATCACTCAGGCAGAGGGGGGGAGCATAGGGGCTTGGGGACCCAGGTGGTACCCAGGACCCAGAGTTTAACTGGGACCTGCCCTTCCACATCAGATGCTCACACTACAATCACTGGCCAGGCATAGGGACTGCACCCATGCATGAATTTCATGCACTGGGCCTCTAGTCCTATATAATAAAGATGTAATATGCAAATTGACAGTCACACCCTCACAGAAGTTAGGAGCCAGCAGTCCCGGATTGTGAGAGGAATGTCCGACTGCCGGTTTAGGCCCTGTGGGATTGGGCCTACACCACCAGTCGGACATCCCCCAAAGGATCCCAGATTGGAGAGGATGCAGGCTGGGCTGAGGGACACCCTCCCTCCCCCCAGTGCATGAATTTCGTGCACTGGGCCTCTAGTACATAAATAATAATACAAAGTAAACTCTGCGTTTTGTGTACGCACAACTGTGGGCTCACTTCTGCCTCCCCACCTGTCATCAGGGTGATGTTCCGTCTGAGCTGCTGACCCTGGCAGGCCCCTCCCAGACCCAGGCCCATCTCCTAGGGATGAGGCCAAGGAGGGAGCAACGCACCAACGTTGCTGACATGCTTAGTCCCAAGCTCACGGACCGACCGGGAGCTGATGGCCCTGCTGCCTCCACCAGGGGATGGTCTGGGGTCGGGATTCAGCTCGGGGTCTAAGGAAGCCCCAGGGCATAGTTTCTCACCCACATTGTCTCGGATGAGTGTCAAGGGAGAGACTATGTGCGCTTCTATGCATTTGTTTCTCAAATAAAATATGTCTGGAGACCAGGAATTACAAGCAATGACAATACCCTAAACTTTATTTCACGGGCAAATAAATGTATAGACATTGTCTTTTTTTAATGTCCTTTTTATTGTTGATAGAATTACAGATGTCTCCCATTTTCCTCCCTTTAACCCCCATCTCCCAGTCCCTACCCGCCCCCCACCCCCCAGATCTTCCCCACCTTATGGCCCGTGTCCATGGGCTGTGCCTATCCTATACAATAAAAACCTAATATGCAAATCGACCAAACGGTGGAACAACCAGC